TAGTTTTGAATTGACAGGTTTAACAATTTCTGATGAGTTTATTTTCTGAGTATTTGCATTACTTGAGACAATAGATGAGAATGAAGGTGCACTTTCGGGAAGAGTGACAGTTGAGTTGTACATTTTTTTGGCTTCACGTATGGTGCATTTTTTTGTTGTTTTGATTTTTTGTATTTCTTTCTCTTGCATGAATTTTGGACAGCTATTCGAAGAGTCCGGATGATCGGCATGATAATTAGCGCAAAACGTACATGTGCAATTTAGGGGGTTGTCGGGAGGTAGGCTGCAATTATTGCATGCTGCTTTTCCCTTGCAATGCTTGGCGGTGTGTCCAAGCAACTGGCAAGTTAACCTTACGCCAGGCAATGTCAATTTGCCTTAACGGAATTAAATTTAAAAAAATGAGATAATACACATAAACGCAAAATCTTGAAAATAAAAAGTAAAGCTACGCGAGTGTGAAAAAAATAATGATTTCTGTGCGACGAGTGGCTACAAACAACTATTACTATACGCTATACTAATTATTATTACAAAAAACTACTTATTGTTGTAACTAATTGATTTTACAAAAAACTTTAAAATTATTAAACAAAATTGACATCTATTAAGAGAAAGGAAAAAACTTAAATTAATATTACAAGAAAGTTTTTAATGCCTTCACAAAAAGTTTTTAATATTATTGGAAAAAGTTTAATGATATTACAAAGAAAAAAACTATTTACTGTTGTAATTAATCGATAACAAAAAATTTAACGCATTGTGAAATATAAAAGCAGAAGATGGAATCTTAAAAGAATATGATGGGGTCAAGAATGATATTCTTCTAAGTACTTTGCCATACTCCATAAAATGTATCATGATGGATTATTCGGATAAAAGGGACTTAGGTACCCTCGTATATCAGATGACCACTCTGGTTGAGCGCCGCGATGACATTCCGATCTTCCAACAAAAAGTTTACCTACACCTTTCTCTTATATTAGAAAAAATTTCATGTCTCGACTTCCATTTTTGCTTATATCAACACACTGCACACTACACAAAATAAATTATTTTCGTGGAAAAAGCAAAAATTCAAAAAAAAAAAATATGCTCATCTATCCGAAGAATCCAAGACGCGGTATTCAGATGCATTGGAGTGCAGTAGGAACGAGTTATATCCACTGACTAATTCGAATTGGAAGTTTTTTTATTTCGCTTGATTTACCTTACAATAAAAGTATACTAACAACTTATATTATTTATAACCAAAAAGCTTGAGCAAATGGAAAAAATGTGTACAAAACCCTCTTTTGAAGTAAATACTCTAAAACCCGATAAGCCGCTTAAGTCCAGCAATGTAAACAAAATTCCGAATTCGGAAAATACGGTTAAATACTCAACAGATGAAGAAGCGGAGTATTCTTCTGATCTTCCTGAAAAAGCAGATAAAGCCACACCAAAAATACTTCGCGGATAATTATGGTGTCGGGAGATGCAAACGGAAGCAATAGTCGGCAACTATATATATGCTTTTGCAAAATCGGAAGCAAAAAAAAAAATGGAACATCAAACTTTTAAATAATGGACTATATAAGGTAAACCCTTTCTCCATAGACGACTGCAGATGCTTATAAAAAGCACTTTCGAGTAATAATATAACTTAGTATTGGTGTTACCATTCGAACGCGTTCATCAGGTCGAGACGTATTTATAAATATTTCTGCATTACTTGCTACCGAAAGATGGAGACCATTGCAGCAATACACTGCTTCTTGTGCAGTTATTTCTGTGCCTGATATAAATTTGTGACAGCTAATATAAAGATTTTCGAACTTCTATGTGACTTTTAGCTGGATATATTTGCCAATATTATATTTGAGTTTTCTCATTGAAAATTATAGATATATATAATATAATGAATGTATGTGTTTTCAGTATGTGGAATGATAATAGTTAATCTAACCCAACTCCCATATGCTACGTATAATGTTTTTCGTTTCTTAACAAATCTTATGCCGATTTTGTACATCAGTTATATAGACTAAATGTATATAAGTATATAAAATTGTTAGATTCAATACTCTGGTTGACTTTTTAAGCCTTAAGGTGCAAGAGTATAAAATGTTCGTTTGCACCCGAAGTTAGCCCTTTCTTACATGTTGTTTACAATTTTGATAAACACATTTCGTTTTTAACATAATAAAGATGGATTTAAATTTTGTAATAGTTAACTGCATTTTCCGCTATAAAAATGTATTTTAAGTTATCTCCTTGTGCACTGTGAACAGTTCCGTCTATGGAGATTTTCTGGATTTGGATTTCTGTACCTGTTCTTCACTGTTATAGTTTTTAGTATTTTCCTTATTTAATTTGATTTTCAATCCTCATGCTTCATGTATCTACTTAAACCATAAACTACCTTGTTGTCTTACCCTGCATATAGGTTGTCGACGCCGCCCCCGCCCAATTTCTTTTGCCACGTCTGTATCGGCAGAGCAATCTTTTCTTTTCCTCTTATTCGAACTTTTTCCGAAGTTTAATTAGCGCGCAACTAAACCATAACTAAAAGTTGCGCGCTCTCTCCTTTTGCGACCGCTCACCGATCCAGACGTGGTAAGTGTGTTTCCAATTTATTATATTTAAATAGATTTATTATAAGAAACCCTTTGTTTTTTATTTAACATTTT